ATTGACTGAATTTATAGATAACTGGGCTTATTAACACGTGAATACTGTGTAATATATTTGAACATGTATATTTAAGAAGTACAATATAAGACAAGCACAAGTTGAATTATCCTTAAGTCATTATACTTTGTTAATAACCGTGCCTCCTCTCCACAGCCGAGGTGTACCACAGTTACCCGTGGTACTGCTTCCTGTTCGCCCTCGCCATCTTCGTGACGCTCACCAATCAGATCCACAAGTGGTCGCACACGTACTTCGGGCTGCCGCGCTGGGTGGTGTTCCTGCAGGACTGCAAGATCATCCTGCCCCGAAAACACCACCGAGTGCACCACGTGTCCCCCCACGAGACCTACTTCTGCATCACCACAGGTCAGCCTTCCTCCTGTCCTCTCCTCTCCTCCTCTCCTCCTCTCCTCTCCCCCGAAAGATGAGAACAGAAAGACACAAATCAACCACTAAAGTGGTCCTGGTTCTGGTTGTATGTTCTTGTTTTTAACCAAACACAATTGTTTAGGGCAGCGCTGAGTACAGGGTGCAGCGACCGTGCCCTTTTTTAGAAAACACAGATAGTGCAAGGACAAGAATATCTATCTATCTATCTATCTACCTACCTACCTACCTACCTACCTACCTAAGTTTGATGCAGATTCTCTCTCTCTCTCTCCCCCTCCCCCCCTGCAGGCTGGCTGAACTACCCTCTGGAGAAGTTTGGCTTCTGGAAGAACCTGGAGGATCTGATCCAGAGTGTGACGGGGGAAAAGCCCCGCGCCGACGACCTGAAGTGGACTCAGAAAGTCCAGTGACGCTGCAGACCTCCTGCTTCCTACCTCAGAAGACCTGGCTCTCATAAAAACTGTACAACAAAGACTAACAGACGCCTTCTGATGCCATAGCTTTACGTCTGTTCAAGAGGAGGGCTCTGCTTTTCATTACTCACTCGTGGAGACCCTCGCTTCCAACTGCAACACATCCTAACCTCTTTGTGTGTCGAACATCGATTCACTTAACAATGCTTTTTGCTACGAAGGTATTTCCTTCAAACAATCCCAAGAAAGAATACTTGAAAGTGTCAGACTCGCTTTTCCTGAGAGGGGATACATCTCGTTAGATATTATATTGTATCGTTTTATTTGCCTTTTTTGCATCAAGGGTCTACCTGGTGTGCTAATAATGCAATTGGATTAAGGCCATGGTAAGTAGTGCAGGGTGATTGAAGAACAAAATGGTTCATTTCTGTTATATTTGTTGATTTCTTGCACGTGGGTTCAGCTGCAAACCTTAATGAGAGGGGACCACATGTTTAATATCTGGTTTGTTGATCCGAGGCGATGACTACAGGATTACTTTATAGTGTTCATTTACAGACAGCTCAGAAACAACAACCGTTCATACTGCGGTCAGACCCTGAACTGGAATTCGTTCTGCTCTCTGTAGGGCTGCAGTCATTAGACCACACATTTAGAAAATGACAGTTTCAATAACGAAAGCAATTCAGTGTCCAGACTCTCAAATGTAGAGTGTATGTATTTTGGAGTTTGGACTGACACAACTGATCTGGAGACATTTATAAACACAAGTGAACCTAGAGACCTAATTGAGTTAACCTGTCAGTGTGCGGTTGAGCGAGCAAACGTAAACTAACTAGCAAACATTAGCTTTCTATCTAACAAGCTGGCTAGCAATTGTAAGCCATCTACTTTTCAAGCTAAAGTTTGTTATTTATCAAACTAGTTACCAAGCTTACGTTAGCTAACAAGCTGGCTAGCAAATGTAATCTGTGGAGCTATCGGTGGCTCTCATAATACGATTTGGATTATTATTTGATATCTCAATAGCCGTTTAAATATGGAGATGTTCCTATGAAAGTAAATATCTTTGATGTTTGGACACAAAGGTCTGCAGTGTTGACATTTATAAACACAAGTTAACCTAGCGACCAAACTCAATGAACCTGTCAGTGTGCTGTTGAGCTAACTAGCTAAAGTTTGCTATCTAACGAGTTAACTATCTTACGTTAGCTACCCATGTAACACGCTGGCTAGCTAATGTAATCTCTGTAGCTATCGGTGGCTCTCATAATACGATTGATATCTCAATAGCATCTCAAATATGGAGATGTTCCTATGAGAGTAAATATCTTTGGGGTTTGGACTGACACACATTTAAAGACTTTGAGCAACGTCTCTCACTAGATCACGACCAAATGATTAATATAAAGTAATCTACAGAATAACCAACAGGAGAGTAATCATGGCTTGCAGCCCTGCAGTTATCTGACCCCACAGTGTGAATTGTTCTTGTCTTTAAGATTGAGGTGTGTAACTGTAGTCAGCGTCGATGCTAACGTGTGTCACGCAGACGATGGTCTCAGTGAAAGCCCTTTCCCTCCTGACGGACTGCAGGGAGGAGGCGGTGCAGTTTGAGCTGCCAGACGCATCACAGGTGCATCGCGTGTCTTTGGGTCACGTGCCAGCAGCGTGTTCACCCCTCACATCCTGCTTTTCTTTTTCAAAGTTGGAGAGGAAGGGTCGAAGGGTTTGTCGTGATGTTACAGCGACTTCACTCCCACTGACGAGATGATGTAGTTCATTGAGCGTTGTTGTTTTGAATGCTCCAGTCGGTCATTTGTAAATGTGTTGTACAGCGAATGACTATGCAGTGCAATAAGAGGTCCTTAACCATACGTCTTAATCATCTGGTTCAAATGCCTTTCTTTTTCTACTCGTTTACACTGAGTGGCTTTTTAGTTTGGATCTTAAACATGCTTGATCTGCATGATATATACAATGACTTTAACTGTCACTTACATACTGATGTGTGCATGCATACAGCATGGAGATCTCCAAGTGCTAACCGGGGTCAGCAGCTGTGTAACTCTGATCGTGCTGCTTTCAAAGACCAGCACAAATGTTAGAAATATCTCATTGTTATTGAATAAATCCTACATTGTTTTGTACCCCTAAAATGATAACATCAGTTACTCATCCTGAATTATTGAACACAACTTTATTTTTCTCACATGCCTCAAAGAGTCGAGGAAACAGTAGAAAATCTTGATAAATTAAATGAAAACATCTGTTAAGAAACTTTCACACACGTGATTTTAAAGAGCTTTTTGAACATTAAAGCATGGAAACATGTCACGTTAGAGCCATTTAATACTGATATGCACCTGAACATCAGCAGGAGAGGACTCTTTAAAGTAGAGACACTACATACTGATATACACCTGAACATCAGCAGGAGAGGACTCTTTAAAGTAGAGACACTACATACTGATATGCACCTGAACATCAGCAGGAGAGGACTCTTTAAAGTAGAGACACTACATACTGATATACACCTGAACATCAGCAGGAGAGGACTCTTTAAAGTAGAGACACTACATACTGATATGCACCTGAACATCAGCAGGAGAGGACTCTTTAAAGTAGAGACACTACATACTGATATACACCTGAACATCAGCAGGAGAGGACTCTTTAAAGTAGAGACACTACATACTGATATACACCTGAACATCAGCAGGAGAGGACTCTTTAAAGTAGAGACACTACATACTGATATACACCTGAACATCAGCAGGAGAGGACTCTTTAAAGTAGAGACACAACATACTGATATACACCTGAACATCAGCAGGAGAGGACTCTTTAAAGTAGAGACACTACATACTGATATACACCTGAACATCAGCAGGAGAGGACTCTTTAAAGTAGAGACACTACATACTGATATCCACCTGAACATCAGCAGGAGAGGACTCTTTAAAGTAGAGACACTACATACTGATATACACCTGAACATCAGCAGGAGAGGACTCTTTAAAGTAGAGACACTACATACTGATATACACCTGGACATCAGCAGGAGAGGACTCTTTAAAGTAGAGACACTACATACTGATATACACCTGAACATCAGCAGGAGAGGACTCTTTAAAGTAGAGACACTACATACTGATATACACCTGAACATCAGCAGGAGAGGACTCTTTAAAGTAGAGACACTACATACTGATATACACCTGAACATCAGCAGGAGAGGACTCTTTAAAGTAGAGACACTACATACTGATATACACCTGAACATCAGCAGGAGAGGACTCTTTAAAGTAGAGACACTACATACTGATATACACCTGAACAACAGCAGGAGAGGACTCTTTAAAGTAGAGACACTACATACTGATATATACACCTGAACATCAGCAGGAGAGGACTCTTTAAAGTAGAGACACCACATACTGATATACACCTGAACATCAGCAGGAGAGGACTCTTTAAAGTAGAGACACTACATACTGATATACACCTGGACATCAGCAGGAGAGGACTCTTTAAAGTAGAGACACTACATACTGATATACACCTGAACATCAGCAGGAGAGGACTCTTTAAAGTAGAGACACTACATACTGATATACACCTGAACATCAGCAGGAGAGGACTCTTTAAAGTAGAGACACTACATACTGATATACACCTGAACATCAGCAGGAGAGGACTCTTTAAAGTAGAGACACTACATACTGATATACACCTGAACATCAGCAGGAGAGGACTCTTTAAAGTAGAGACACTACATACTGATATACACCTGAGCATCAGCAGGAGAGGACTCTTTAAAGTAGAGACACTACATACTGATATACACCTGGACATCAGCAGGAGAGGACTCTTTAAAGTAGAGACACTACATACTGATATACACCTGAACATCAGCAGGAGAGGACTCTTTAAAGTAGAGACACTACATACTGATATACACCTGAACATCAGCAGGAGAGGACTCTTTAAAGTAGAGACACTACATACTGATATACACCTGAACATCAGCAGGAGAGGAGTCTTTAAAGTAGAGACACTACATACTGATATACACCTGAACATCAGCAGGAGAGGACTCTTTAAAGTAGAGACACTATACTGATATACACCTGAACATCAGCAGGAGAGGACTCTTTAAAGTAGAGACACTACATACTGATATACACCTGAACATCAGCAGGAGAGGACTCTTTAAAGTAGAGACACTACATACTGATATACACCTGAACATCAGCAGGAGAGGACTCTTTAAAGTAGAGACACTACATACTGATATACACCTGGACATCAGCAGGAGAGGACTCTTTAAAGAATGTAAGGTTAAAAAGGGTGAGTAACTGATGTACAATTGTATTTTTGTGGTGAAATATTTATTTAAATTGTCCGAGCTTACCTTGCTGTTCAGTTGGGTTGAGTAATGAGATTTTGATGTAGACAATTTAAAATAAGTATACAGTGAATTTGAAGCCAAAATGATGCTTTATGATCTGTAATATTCGACTTATTCTTAATCCTTCATTCGTGATTATATATAATTATTTAGGTGTTAGAGTTTAGTGTTTGTCATATAATGTTTGGAGGTGTCTTCATCACAGTTTAAGGCATTTTCATTCATATTTGGAGAAACACAGTTTTAACTCTTTAAACAACAGTTTGACGGCTTATTTTATAAGTAGGAGTTTCAGCGTTTGGATGTTTTCAGCAAAATAGCTTTTTGTGATAAGAGATAAGTAATGTATGTAATGTTGTTTTTGTAATACGATAAGGTCAGAAATACTGTAAATGCCATAATCATTGGTTTAAAGATTGACAACCCTGCAATGAAAACATGTATTTGAAGATTTTAGAAAGGGTTTATGAAATTATAATCTTAAATTGCTATAAAATAAAGTGAATTTGTTAAGTTAAGATAGAAATTCACGCAAAAATCACAAGAAATCTTCAACCATTTTTCTTTTCAAGCTATTAAAATGACTTTATTTTAAAATTGCATAGTCATGTTGGACCTCAAAACAAACTGTGACTCATCAGATGTTTGTTTTGGGTCAAACGCGACTATCCAATATTACAATAAAGACAACAAATGAAGCAGTTTCTTGTGATGTGTGTTGCTAAAAGTGCTTTCTATGGTTGTCTGGTTGTGATTTTGGATCTAACATGCATTAAGGAATGTGATTAAGTAGGTCATTATCATCTTGTGGAGAAAAGATAAAAGTGAAGTTGTTATTTAATCGATAAATGTTGTCAAAGTCACTCGTTTTCAATGAGATTGTTGTCAAAACGATTATTTTATAGTAGCCCTATGTCCGTGGATCTGAAGGCTTTTGTCAATGACGTTGGTCATTGGTTTGTTGGACACGATGTGTTAAAATCACGTTGTGTATTGATCCCTGGACGTTTTATTGAATTGCCTTATCCCTGATTTGGTTTCTCTAAATGTTCCCGTGGATTTTGGGGAAAAGTGATGGAGCTTCCTGTCCGAATGTTTCGGTGGTGACGGAGTTTGAGATATCAGAAAAATGCCTTGATGCCTTTCTGTTGTCTTCCAGTTGGGAGACTTACAATGTACATAATATTAAAACTGTATTTATAAATAAACTAAATAAAGGGTTGATAATTACTGCTCCCTGTTGTCTCTGATTCACTTCTTCCTCTGCTTTAGATTAAAGACGTTGTTATGAAAGCCCATAGAGGACTTTATTACAATGATCATGTAATGTACGTTATACTACAATTTTTACAATTTTCACATGCTAGCAATATAAATCCCTCCACACAAAAATGCAAATATTTAAATCAATATCAACTGTACTGTCTTGGGTTTCACTCTCATTCTGTTTCTGATATTACTCATGAATTTACCTGCAGTGATCAATAAAGGTCTATCTCATCTTAGAACATTGATTTTGATGTATTTTTGATGCAGAATACCAGGAGAAAAGCATGTATTTGGCTAAATCTGATGGAAATCAATAAACTACTATGTTGAAGCAAGGTTTTTAGAAGTAAAGCTTGATATAAAATAAAGCTTAATGTATGCTCTAATGGCCATGGTGTTAACAAATAAGGTTTTAATGGGTTTTAATTTGGCTTAATTTTAGTTTGGCTTAACAGTTAATTATATACGTATTAAATATAATTCCTGTACTAAATTATATAGCAAATGCCCAAATAAACATAACAGATAATTGAACCGGGCTTGTACTCCTTTTTCCACTGACTTAAAGTTGTTTTGTGTACATTGTTTACGTTATATTGCTTGTACATCATGTTCTATGTTCTAGTTAAACAAAGGAAGCGATGCTCAGCGTTTCTGTCCCGCGCACGCACCGTTTGGTGACAATGGCAAATCACGTGCGCGCTCCCGCAGTGAAGCGACAAGATGGCGGTCTCCGCCGGATTAGGTAAATGTACGAGACAAATATATTATATTTAAAACGGAATAACTGTCCGAATGAACTGTCTGTGTGTAGCCGTGGAGCTTGTCAATAATATGTAATATCTGCTGTGGTGTAGAAATACTGAAGCTAACTTAAAACGAGTCTTCTAGTGGAATGAATAGGAAGAGATGCTACATGCTAAGCTAACTAAGAGCTAATATTCTGAAGGAATGAATAGAAAGCGATGCTACATGCTAAGCTAACTAAGAGCTAATCCTTATGGTAGAATGAAGGAAATGATGCTAGATGCTAAGCTAACTTAACGCTAACTCTTCCAATGGAATGAATAGGGAAAATATGCTACATGCTAAGCTTACTCAAACCTAGTTTTCTGATGGATTGAATAGGAAGCGATGCTACATGCTAAGCTAACTGAAGTTAAAAGGATGATTTGATGAATTTACAGTTGCCTACAATGGGATTTGATGTCATTTAATATCCACCCATGATCAGTTATCTACGTGTTTAATATTATTTAACCTGTAAAGATGTATTTATTCACGTTATTCAGCGTAATAGTGTCTGACGCTGACGGCAGCTAACGGTCCGGGGTTTCATGTTTTTTAAATGACATTACCTATCTCTGAAAAAAGTCTGAATGCTAAAGATATTTAATCGGAATCAGTAGATGTTCGTGCACCGGCCTGCAACCAGCCTGCATGCTTTTAACCTGACTGTGTTAACAATGACGCTACGCTTTTTGTTGTGCTCACCAAGAAAACCTAATCTATGTTGAGTTATAATGAAAAGCTGTGTTTAGCTAACCTGCTTCTACCTACACACACACACACACACACACACACACACACACACACACACACACACACACACACACACACACACACACACACACACACACACACACACACACACACACACACACCTGGCTGCAGGACTGTTTGCTCAGTTAAAGCAGCTGCACCATCACTGCAGAGGCCAGATGATGATGCAGCAGAGCCTCGTGCTAAACCTGAGAACAACAGACCGTCTACCTGCAGGAATACAAGGCTAATACACCTCTTATTAAGGGTAGAAGTACAAGCTTTAGTGGAGTTCACAAAGCTCCACTGCAATGGGATTGATACTAGCACCATTTACATATCTTTAGATGAGTTTTAGATACAGAGCTTGCTACTGATATAGATTGAAGCCTGTACAGCTGCAGAGGCCTTTTTAAAATAAGATATACCTTTATGGATCCTTGCCGTTTTATTTTTTAAAGATAAGATGATAAAATAGTTCCCCTTCCCTGAGACAATATATGTTTTACATTTAATGAAATGCAGTGGATTTAGGACTTATAGCCGTAACTAATTTGCACACCCTGAATGAGTGCATAATGCAACAGTCTAACAGAGACCTATACTCACAATAAGAGACCTTATTTAAAGTACAGGTATATATATTTGTATGGACTTATCAATCTCCTTACTGTGGACCCTTGCAAACCCACGGCTTGTACATTTAGTGTTTTTAAACCGTAATAAGATGTCTCTTCTTAGTCTTTTATTATTGCAAGTAAACAGAAAGATGGTCTTACTCTGTAGTTTTCCTCTCCTCTGATTCAGCATCTCTGCTTCTTGTGTCTATCTTCTCTGTATTTAACCTACATGAAGACTGATGGGTGAAGATCTTTGAGTTAGGCTTTCTTTTACTTTAGAGTGCACTCAAATCTAGACACCGTGTTTGGGAACAGATGTTATTCTTACTGTCTGAAACTCTAATCATAAAACTTATCAGGGTTTTGTGATTAAACTCCAGCGTTGTAATAATGCTGACTTCAGCGGGGCGTCGTCACGTTGTGTTTCTGATGAGTCATCCAGCTCATAACTCTAATCATCTTTAAGCAAGTCATCGCTCAGAAAACAGAAGCGATGGTTTGGTGTCAGGGCGGCAACTAACAACTACTTCCATTAATCTGCAGATTCTTTTCTCTATTGTTTGTTTTATAAAATGTAAAAAATAGTGAATAATGTCAATCCCAATGAGATGTCTTTTAATGACTTGTTTTGTCAGAATCAAACCCAAAGATATTTACTTTAATATAATTTAAAAACAGCGTAAATTGCGTACAAATATACTTTTGACTTCATTAATTATCAGAGTAGTTTTAAATCGACTTAATGCTATTTATAGCTCGATCTTGTGTTGACTGAACGCTCTTGAGTTGGTTTGGATTTCTCTCTTAGTGTCTGCACGGCTTTCCACTTTTCGTAACAATACTGTACATATTTTATTTTATTATCATGAGTGATTTCTAAATTTCCTGAAGATATTTCTCCTTAATTGTTACATTTGTGGTTCTTTTTCTTACAATTTATCTTGTGTGTGTGAGTATCGGTCTAACCGTTGTTGTTGTTTTGGTCCACAAGCAGGTGTTAAAGTCCCACGTAACTTCCGGCTCCTGGAGGAGTTGGAGGAAGGTCAGAAGGGCGTTGGAGATGGGACGGTGAGCTGGGGTCTGGAGGACGACGAGGACATGACCCTGACCCGCTGGAGGGGCGTCATCCTCGGTCCCCCCAGGGTGAGACCTGCTAAAGACCCCCTGTAGAGACGATGAAGAGGTTAACGATGTAGTGTAGGGAATGACTGCAAACTAGAAAGGGCAGATGAAGTAAAGATAATACACTTACATATTGCAAAGTGTATATTTACAGGCAGTGTTATTGCACATAAACAAAGATATCAATTATATATTGTATCACAAAATGACAGGAAGCGACATGAAGTACATCTTAAATAACCGTCAGAGGAAACTTGTTCAGCATCAACGTAACAAAGCACTAAGGGAAAAGTCATGTAAGGAGAATAAACTCAAAGGCTGCCACTCAGCTGCTCTTTGAAACAAAAGGAGAATATTGACCAAACGACAGGTACAAGTCTGTCTGATAAGACTCAACTCTGATTTAACCACAAATCACAATCATTCTTCATCAATTTATCAAAAAACGAGGTAAAAATATCTTTGAGGATCAGGTGAAATACACAGACCGTAAGCAGGGCTCGAGCTTAAGGACGTCCCGTCGTCCCGGGGCCGAAAAAAATCGGGTCGGGGAGGATACAAATGAATTTTGGGACGAATTTGGGATGAGAGTTAAAATAAAAATACCCTGCTAACTCTACTACGAACGGCGATGAAAATGAAACTGACTGCACGTTTTGTGCAGCACACAGTTATTAAACCTCCTTGTCAACATAAACACACACAAAGCATTTAGCAACCCGCGAAATACACACACACACAGTACGTAGCTACAGCTGTCAGCCAGCCGTACAGCTGTGATGTAACTACCATTTGTTTCCCCCGGAGCGGTGCGGAGAAACAAAACTTAACTTATGAAGCAGCTTTTGACGGCGCGCTATGCATGGGGCACCCGAGAGGGGGTTTCCAGACATGTCATTGCAGCTGAGATGAGAACTCTCCATCGCATTTAGTCCTTAGCAATATGCTGCGCCTCTCCCCATGTAGGGATGGGTACCGAGCCCCGGTATTAAACGGGCCGGAATTATTAAAGACAGTGGTACCAACAGTGGTCTTTTTATCGGTACTGGAGACATTTAAAACATGTCATATGTATTATTGCTACATGAACATTATATTGCAGTTTTAGTTTCGCCAACTCCGTTTCTAATATGCAATAAGACTACAAAATGCGTCTATGATGTATTTTCGATCTTATTTTCGATCTTTCCAATCCAGACGAGAGAGCTCTCTCTCTCCCCGTCTGTGTGCGAGGGGGCGGGCAGTTTGTAAAGGTCTCCTGACTGTGTTACAGACTGTCATCCTGGTTAGTGGTTACTCTGGGTTCTGTCTTCTGTCTTCAGGACAGAGTGTTGGATTTTTTTGTTAATCGGATGGGACTTGATTGGATTCAATATTAGAGCAACTTTCTCGCTTGTGTGTTTTTTTTAAATATATTTGGCCTTTGTTTATGTGTTTGACTGATTTACTCAAATAAAAAGGTTGATGAATTATCATCTAATGATTTGTATGATGTTTTATTTATGTTAAAGGTCACTTTGAATGATTTTAACTAATGATAATGTAGAAAAACAAATATTTTAAATTCGGGACGGTCCACATTAATTTCGGGACGGCTTAGATTGTATTTCGGGACGGTTCCGGGAGGATGGTGAAAAAAGTTAGTCGAGAGCCCTGCCGTAAGATTCTACAAAAAGAAACGCAACGTGAGTTATATGGAAATATTTTAGCATGACGTTGTTGACCAAACGTTGACATCACAACATAGCCCCATGTGTCAGAGGAATAGCATGTGCTCCAATATCTCCTCGCTCTGATGTGGAATGTAGAAATGTTACGTGTGATTTTAGTTTAACATAATTAGGCTTTTTTTAGGCGTTTAGTCAAATTGCAGCTCAGTCTGTATCTGAGGTGTTCAGACGTAGAAGACGCCTCAGATCTTTATCAGAAACTGAACACATTACTGAACCTCAGATTACAATATGACCTGTTTCAGTATTTAGAGAGTTGACGGTGTTGTTTGACGCTCTCTCTCCTCTCTCTCTCTCTCTCTCTCTCTCTCTCTCCTCTCTCTCTCTCTCTCTCTCTCTCTCCTCTCCCTCTCTCCTCTCCCTCTCTCCTCTCTCCTCTCTCCTCTCTCTCCTCTCCCTCTCTCTCTCTCTCTCCGTCCACAGACGAGCTTTGAAAACAGGATGTACAATCTGAAGGTTGAATGTGGGCCAGAATACCCAGAATCCCCTCCGTTTGTCAGATTTGTGACCAAGATCAACTTGAATGGCGTGCACACCTCCAACGGCGTGGTACGTATCTGACATATTGGGGGATCTAAGCCGACTTGTGTGTGTGTGTGTGTAACTGACTCACCTGTGTGTGTGTGTGTGTGTAACTGACTCACCTGTGTGTGTAACTGACTCACCTGTGTGTGTGTGTAACTGACTCACCTGTGTGTGTGTGTGTGTGTAACTGACTCACCTGTGTGTGTAACTGACTCACCTGTGTGTGTGTGTAACTGACTCACCTGTGTGTGTGTGTGTGTAACTGACTCACCTGTGTGTGTGTGTAACTGACTCACCTGTGTGTGTGTGTGTGTAACTGACTCACCTGTGTGTAACTGACTCACCTGTGTGTGTGTGTAACTGACTCACCTGTGTGTGTGTGTGTAACTGACTCACCTGTGTGTGTGTGTAACTGACTCACCTGTGTGTGTGTAACTGACTCACCTGTGTGTGTAACTGACTCACCTGTGTGTGTGTGTAACTGACTCACCTGTGTGTGTGTGTGTGTGTGTGTGTGTGTGTGTGTGTGTGTGTGTGTGTGTGTGTGTGTGTGTGTGTGTGTGTGTGTGTGTGTGTGTGTGTGTGTGTGTGTGTGTGTGTGTGTGTGTGTGTGTGTGTGTGTGTGTGTGTGTGTGTGTGTGTGTGTGTGTGTGTGTGTGTGTGTGTGTGTGTGTGTGTGTGTGTAACTGACTCACCTGTGTGTGTAACTGACTCACCTGTGTGTGTAACTGACTCACCTGTGTGTGTGTGTAACTGACTCACCTGTGTGTGTGTTGCAGGTGGACATGCACGCGGTCACCTCTCTCTCCAAGTGGCAGAACTCCTACAGCATCCGGATGGTTCTGCTGGAGCTGCGGCGCCTCATGACCTGCAAGGAGAACATGAAGCTGCCTCAGCCTCCAGAGGGCCAGACCTACAGCAACTGATCCCCCCCCCCTTTACCATGTCACACACACACACACACACACACACACACACACACACACGTATAAACACACACACATATTGATCTGTAAACACATAGAGCAGTGTTTCTCAACTTTTTCCTCAAACTGTTTTCTTACCAAGGACCAATTATAAAAACACACGGACCACCTATGTTTGTTTATTAGTCAATTTATTGAACACGTTAGAAACAAAACAAACAATAATAATAATTATAACACAAAGAGAAGCAAAATAAAAACCGTTCAATATAAAAAATTTAAAAAGTTTGCGTCGTTCCAAATGTTCCCAATATGCTTGAGAGACCTTTGAGAAACACTGGAGCAAATGACCAACTGACACACACACACAGTTATTGACCCCCCCATCACTGGAGCTCTGGGTGGACCCCCCCCCCTCTTTGTCCACCTCAGATTTGATCATTGAATACTGTACATGTTACTAATCTTTTTTTATTATTATTTGTTAAAAAATGCAGATTGTACAATAACATAAATAATCTTATTGAGTGTAACCTCTCCGAGTGTGTGTGTGTGTGTTTATTGTAACGCTGGAAAATAAGAGGTGTAAACTCGGCACACATGGATCATTTAAAGTGGACCTATCATGCTATATTATAATAATATAGTGTAGGACCATACCTATATAAGGCATATTTATACTTTTTTTTTTTCAAAATACCAAACAGATCATGCATTTTAGCCATGCCTCATTTCGCTCAATTTGCACTTTAGCTCTGTTTTAGCAAGGGCTGATTCAGTGAGAACAGCACCACCTACAGGCCTGGCATATGTACTACAGCGTCTCTAGCGCTTTCGAACGGCAATGGCCGTGGCTGTCTCCTCCTGATTGGTGGAGTTGGCCCAATAGCCGTAGCGCCACCGTCCTGACGTCAGGACAGTGTTCAAATCTGGATCAGTTTTTATCAGATCCGTTGCAGCCCCTTTTTTAGAGATTTGGGTATGGAGGAAAATAGAGAAGGTTGTGTTTTCTGACACTTGGTGAGTTCCCTGGAACACCGGGGACACATATTCATGTAGAAAAGACGTGCAAAAGTGCATTTTGCATGATAGGTCCCCTTTAACAGATATAAATAAATACAGACGGAGCAGTAGAGGGAACATTCAGAATCAATTTAGGATTTTTTACGTGAATTTTAAAGTGTTAAAGGAATGAGAAAATGGGAGTACCTTCGTGTAAAAGTGACTTATTTGCCACTTATTCTGAGTAAATCTTCATTTCTTTTTGGATGAGTTGGCTCAGATCAGATTGTCGACAGATGTTGGAATAAAAATAAAAAACACCAAAAATGTCAAAGTACACAATACCTACTCAGACCCTTAAATAAAGCACACAATCTGTGGTCTGAAAATACTCTACATGTAACTGTCTGTAATTCAAAATGCTCCTTTAGTAATCCACTGAGCAGGCACTGCATATAACAGTCTGCACATAAGATATACTTTATTGATCCTACATGGTTTTGTCCCAGCAGCAGAGCATTGCACGAGTTAAACATATACAAATGCATAGTAAAGAATTTACACTGTAGGAGCAAGTGCACAAAGGTAAAGACATTGGATTGAATATATTATAATTGTGCAAATTGCGTTATTGGGTTATGGAAGAGGAGACATATATATTTATATTAATATATATTGGCCTCATTGTTTTGCCTGATGCTGCGCTGAGTGACGCTCTGTGTGATCAGGTTTCTATGAGAGCTATAAAAACACAGTGTGTTTTCACGGAGCTAAAAGTCACACTGACTTTAAAGGTCCCCTGTTATCCCCTTCTTCATCAATATATCACAGGTCTCAGATATATCCAGAGCCTGTCTCTGATTGGCTGAAACACCAAGTGCTGATTCTCTGTCTGTTACTTTAGATGAAAATAAGGAGCCCCTCCCCACGCCCCTCTGAGAGAGATTTGGTTACAAAGAACACAATGGTGCTCTAGGAGGAGATTCAGGTGATAAGGGGGGGGGGGGGGGTTACCTTGGTTGCTGATTGGCTAATGGTTACACAAGACAAAACATCGTTATGACATCATCAAGTGGCCAAAATCTGATCAGCTCATTTTCAGACAGGTTTTTATAGAAATGGATCAAAAAGAGAGAGAATCTTTGTTCCTGAAACTTTCAGAGTCTCTTTCCACAGAGGGGACACATGTTGATGAAGAAGAGACATGAAGAAGAGGGGACACATGTTGATGAAGAAGAGACATGAAGAAGAGGGGACACATGTTGATGTAGAAGAGACATGAAGAAGAGGGGACACATGTTGATGAAGAAGAGACATGAAGAAGAGGGGACACATGTTGATGTAGAAGAGACATGAAGAAGAGGGGACACATGTTGATGTAGAAGAGACATGAAGAAGAGGGGACACATGTTGATGAAGAAGAGACATGAAGAAGAGGGGACACATGTTGATGTAGAAGAGACATGAAGAAGAGGGGACACATGTTGATGAAGAAGAGACATGAAGAAGAGGGGACACATGTTGATGAAGAAGAGACATGAAGAAGAGGGGACACATGTTGATGTAGAAGAGACATGAAGAAGAGGGGACACATGTTGATGTAGAAGAGACATGAAGAAGAGGGGACACATGTTGATGTAGAAGAGACATGAAGAAGAGGGGACACATGTTGATGTAGAAGAGACATGAAGAAGAGGGGACACATGTTGATGAAGAAGAGGGGACACATGTTGATGTAGAGACATGAAGAAGAGGGGACACATGTTGATGTAGAAGAGACATGAAGAAGAGGGGACACATGTTGATGTAGAAGAGACATGAAGAAGAGGGGACACATGTTGATGTAGAAGAGACATGAAGAAGAGGGGACACATGTTGATGAAGAAGAGGGGACACATGTTGATGTAGAGACATGAAGAAGAGGGGACACATGTTGATGTAGAAGAGACATGAAGAAGAGGGGACACATGTTGATGTAGAGACATGAAGAAGAGGGGACACATGTTGATGTAGAAGAGACATGAAGAAGAGGGGACACATGTTGATGAAGAAGAGACATGAAGAAGAGGGGACACATGTTGATGTAGAAGAGACATGAAGAAGAGGGGACACATGTTGATGTAGAAGAGACATGAAGAAGAGGGGACACATGTTGATGAAGAAGAGACATGAAGAAGAGGGGACACATGTTGATGAAGAAGAGACATGAAGAAGAGGGGACACATGCTGATGAAGAAGAGACATGAAGAAGAGGGGACACATGTTGATGTAGAAGAGACATGAAGAAGAGGGGACACATGTTGATGAAGAGGAGACATGAAGAAGAGGGGACACATGTTGATGTAGAAGAGACATGAAGAAGAGGGGACACATGTTGATGTAGAAGAGACATGAAGAAGAGGGGACACATGCTGATGTAGAAGAGACATGAAGAAGAGGGGACACATGTTGATGTAGAAGAGACATGAAGAAGAGGGGACACATGTTGATGAAGAAGAGACATGAAGAAGAGGGGACACATGTTGATGTAGAAGAGACATGAAGAAGAGGGGACACATGTTGATGTAGAAGAGACATGAGGAAGAGGGGACACATGTTGATGTAGAAGAGACATGAGGAAGAGGGGACACATGTTGATGTAGAAGAGACATGAAGAAGAGGATTCTGCAGAATAGGTCCCCTTTAAAGCAGCATGTCGTTAGTGACTCAAAGAGGTTTTGAGTCACGAGAGTTCAGGTGAGGGATAGCTATGAGGTTTACAACATTTTAAAATAAAGATCAATATATATTAAAGGTAATCGTACTGGCTGAGTTTTTTATTTTCTTTAATTTAGATTACTTTCACGATCACGCATATTCCACATACTTTAATCCAGCAGATGATCAACTGTTCTATTCAATAGAATGCAGTCTGTTTTTGATTCAAAGCAGAATCTGGAATATACAGTTCTCTGGAGTCAAGCTATATCTCACTATAGGGTTTAGCTCCTCCTCCTCCTCCTCCTCCTCCTCCTCCTCCTCCTCCTGGGACTCAGCTCTGCTTCAGTCACATTAATGCATGTAATCAGATAACTCCCCACTAGATGGCGGTAGCTCACTCTTCTATATTAAATCCACTGCCTGTGAAATACATGTTTCCTGTATTAGTGAAATGACCCAGGAGCGACTTCACACCTGAACGCTGACATGTGTACACCTGCTCACTCTAATATAAACAAGCAGCTAACAACAACAGGCTGCATTTCATCAGCTGGGAGACTCAGACAGGAAGCTACACCTAGTTTAAAACCACCAGCTTAGAGGATATCATGCTGTATATATGTATTAATATACACTATGTATATATATATGAATACTTGTCTCAGGTTAATAAAGTGTAGCAGGAGCAGTGGTCTTGTCTCCCTGAGCTGGAACATAGATTGAATGTAAACATGAGGAGTGTGTTATTATCTGCATGTTGTCTACGGACAATTCATACAAAATCAAATATGTGCAATAAATACAAAATATGTGCAATACACGTCTCGGCTTTTCTCCGGCCGTAACTCCCAGTGAACCTTCAGTGTCTGACGTCCATATTATTAATACAACTATTAATAAATAAATAGATGGGATCAATAAAGTACTTCCTATCTTATCTTAGTAAAGCCTCCTGGGAATCAGCCCCTCTGATTGGCCGCTGGTCATCATGGGAACCAGTGAGAGTCGTCCCCCCCCCCCCTCCCCTAGCAGCTGCTCCTCTCTCACCCCTCGCCTTCAGGAGGAGATCCCCCATCAGAGGGTCTAATTACTGACGCTCAGCGGGGGGGCCGCTCAGAGAGGAACCAGGGATCCACAGATGGGACGTTCCACATATAAACACACGGGGGGGGGGGGGGGGGAGTAGTGGAGTACAAATACTTCATTACTGTACTTAAGTACATTTTTCTGGTATCAGCTCATTGATCGGAGAGGCCGGGGGGGCAGATGGAGGATTCTGCAGGTCCTCCAGCTGGTCAGTGGATGTTTGGGGGCCATCTGACGCTCACAGGGGCCCCCAACACTCTGAAGGGCTTCAGGCTGTCTCTAAACTCAAACCTCCAGCCAATCAGAGAGGCAGCTGACAGAGATCAGAGAGAGACGACAGCAGAGATTTGAACCTGAAGATGATCACTCCCACTTGTTAGCCAGCGCTGTTTGCAGAGGTGGGAAGTAGTGGAGTACAAATACTTCCTTACTGTACTTAAGTACATTTTTCTGGAATAAGTACTTTACTCCACTACTTATTCTTCTGACGACTTTTTACTTTCTACTTCTTACATGTTGAACTCAAATACCTGTACTTTCTACTTCTTACATGTTGAACACAAATACCTGTACTTTCTACTTCTTACATGTTGAACACAAATACCTGTACTTTCTACTTCTTACATGTTGAACTCAAATACCTGTACTTTCTACTTCTTACATGTTGAACACAAATACCTGTACTTTCTACTTCTTACATTTTGAACACAAACACCTGTACTTTCTACTTCTTACATTTTGAACACAAATA